CAGATTCCATAACAAAGTTTGCAGCATTGTTATACTATTTTCCATTTTAATTTGGAGTTTACATGGAGACACTTTTGCTCAGTTTGGGTATAAATGTTGAATTATGCTGGCCCTAGCTAAATATAATTCAATTTTAGTGTCAAATTTCCTATTATCTCTTTTCTTTATAATCCTCACATTCCAGTGACAGATGCAGGGCCAGGTGCTCCTCCTCCTCCTTCTTTGTTACCTTGTTGTCCCCATCCCTCCATCTTGTTCAAGATAAGGATTATGTTCTGCCTGTTCTTGGGAAGGAAGGGACAATGTCTAATCAGTCAGTATTAGAGAATGAGTTCTTGTGTCAGCTGGGTGACATTGGACAAGACACTTGCTCTGAGCCTCAGCTGGTTGATTGGTTTGTTTTTATCTTTGACATTGATAAGAGAAGGTGTTGGACTCCAAGCTTCTTTCCATTTCTAAACCCTGTTCTATGTTCTCTAACCTAGTACTCCTCCTGAGATGTGAGCAGGTGCCGTGGCTCTATTCAGGGTTTCTACTGTGAGCCTAGGTAACTGCTCCATGCATAACAAGTCAAGCCAGTGGGGAGGCCCAGAGAGCTCCCACAGGTGTCAGTTTCTCTGACTGGCTGTGAATTCAAACTTTCTGTTGGAATTACCATATCATCCTGAAGGGATGCAGTGTTGAACAAGAGCTCTTATTTATCCTCTACTTTCATTCTTACTCAACCTTGCTGAGGGTGAAATTCTTCTTCTTATTCCACTTCCTCTTCCTCCTTCTTTCTTCTTTCTCTTCTTCTTCTTCCTCCTCCTCCTTCTGGCTATAATTGCTATTTTAATAATCTTTTATTTTATAATGATGTTTAGTTTATAGAGAAGATAATTGTTTCCCTTATCAACATGTTAGAATGGCATATGTGTCAGTGAAGAAGCAATTTTGATACATTATGATTAACTGAGCCCATGCTTTATTCAGATTTCCTTTGTTTTTATCTAAATTTTTTTTTTTTCTGTTTTAGGATCCCATCCAGGGTACCACATTATATTTAGTTATCATGTCTCCTTAGATTCCTCTTGTCTGGTACTTTTTTCATTTTCTTCAACAACCTTGAGAATTTTGAGGAGTACAAGTCAAGAATTTAATTGGCATTTGTCTGGTGTTTTTATCAAAATTAGATAGAGGTTGTGGAGTTTTGGAGGAAGATCACAGAGGTAAAATGCCACTTTCATTCTGTCACATCAAGGGTACATACAGTCAGCATGGTTTATGACTACTAAAGTTAACCTTGATTACCGGGTTGAAGTAGTGTTTTTCTGTCAGGTTTCCCCACTGTAAAGTTACCCCCCGCCTTCCCATTCTATACTGTACCCTTTGGAAGGAAGCCATCATGGGGAGCCTAAGGAAGTTTCTTATTCATGTCACAGTCCAAGGTGTTTCTGATAGCTATTGTCTTTTCTCCATACCAGTTATTCAGGGACCCAGCATTCTTCCATTCTTTTGCTCTGACATCCCTAAGGGCTTTGTCATCTTAATCCAGCCAGAGTTAAGGAAAAGAGAATGTGGAGGAGAATGTTTGCTTTTAAAAGTCTTGGCCTGAAAATGGCACACATCACTTCCACTTACATTCCATATGACACTTATTCATCTGCCAAACCTAATTGCAAGGGAGGCTAGGACATATGGTCTAGCTGGCTGCCCAGGAAAAAGAGGAAATGGATTTGAGTGGAATGCTAGCAGTATGTGCCACCCCACTTTACAGAAGAAAAGGTAACAAACCAGCCTCTAGTAATATAGCCATCAATATATGGCTTTATAAAAAAATATGCAATAGAAGAAAATAATGTTAGAATCAAGGAAAGTCATTTAAATTGAAAAAAAAAACTAGCACAATCAAAAACTTATTCCATTGACTGTATTTAATGAATTTCACTGTTGATCTGTGAACACTGGTTAAGAACAGATACTTTCATGTCAACATTTGAATACTTCTGCCTTATATTCTACCTGTTGTAGACTCTGCATTGTTCTCAGAGTCTGCTCTGTCTTCCTGTCTTGAATGCCTCCCTCCCCCGACCCCAGGAAAAGCCAACTCATTCCTTAATTCCTCAAGTGACAGATGTGGTATCTTAGCTTAAGTCCCTGCTCCTAAGGACTATCAGGACACTCTGCTTCCCTCTCTCATCTAGCATCAGTCCCATGCTAGTACTACTGTGTTAACTATGTTTTGTTCTTTTGACTGAGTGCTCCCTGGGGATTCCATGGGTTTTACAGGTCCCTGGGCAGAGTCAGACAAATAATATGTGTGTTTGTTGAAAGTATCCAGGGTGCAGGATGCTAGATATCCCAAAAAGTCATTTCATGGTTTAAATTCCTTTTTGAAAAAAAAATAGCAAAACATGTTATTTTCCCATCTATTTTTAAAAGAGTTCTTGTTGTCAGCTTTTGTGGAGGAGGGGATCTTGGGCTTAGTCTGGGAAGACTGGTAGAGCCTGACAGATGGGAATGAGGTACTTACTGGCCCATCAAGTGGGCAGTGTATCTTTGAGTGACCTGTCTGAGGTTCTAGGTATTTGTTCAAAAGATGGCCAGGTCTCCTGTGAAACTTCAAGAGGTTCACTTTTGTAGATTATCACATAGTTACAACTCAAATTACTGGGCTTGTTCTGGCGTTGATCTCAGTACTGGGGGTTGGTATAAAAGTCTGGTGCTCATTATCCTGAATAGGAGTTACCAACCTGAATTCCCAGAGTCCCAATAGGGGGATAGCTTCACCATGACAAAAGAAGTGTTTAATTACAGGTAAAGAAAGAGGAGCCTGAAGAAAACAAACATTCATTTGCAGGCTTTAATGACTAAGCTGCCATGCCGTTCATTACCAACAAAAGCATGACTTCTTCATGAATTAAGAGGTGGTTGCCCCTTTCCTTCTTTCTGCCACTTTCAATCCTCTATTCTCAGTCCACTGTTACTGGAGTGGCTTTACAAGCTCAATAAGCATTTTACTAAAACAGAAACCAGAAGACATGGGGTCTTCTTTGGGGGTCCCTTCATTTTACCTGCATTGTTTCTTTGGTTTTTATAGTTGTAATGTCAGACCTTAATTAGAATTCATATTTTTATATGGTCTCATACTATCACATTGTAATTCATTTGAAGTTCTCAAAGATTAAAATTAGGGTACAATTTTTTTTTTTTCATTATATAGATGCAAACCCTGAGACCAGGTATTCTGTGACTTTCTCATGACCCCAAAGGCGATTGGAGTTCAGATTTGGGTCTTCTGACTCCAAATTTGGAGCTGAGTATGCTACATCAGAAACTGCTGGTCAGCCAGGGAGCTTCATGCAAAGGCTCCCCTCAAGTTGTTTGCTGTGAGGTTAGCTCCCTGTGTGTTTCTCTGACATGGCCTGTTGTGTGGGATTAGGTGAGCCCGTGGAAGAAAAATCATTACTGAAGGTCTGCAACCACTCAGGTCAGAGGATTCAAACATACTCAAAGTGAATAGAGACCCATAAAGGGACCTAAAGATCATTTAATTTAACTGCTGGATTTCATTTATAAGGAAAATGAAGTCCACAAATTACAAATTGAATTTACTTAATTCAAAAAGATAATGGATAGCTATTGTTTAGAATGCCTAGTTTCCAGTTCAGTTCTTTTTTCATTAACCTTCTTCCTCATTCACAATTTTCTTGTCACTTCTCTTGCTTCATAGAATTGCTTGGAAGAAGACGTGATGATATTGGCATGCTCAATTTTGGGCAATGAAATGGTGGTTCAAAACTCCTCCCATAGACATATTATAGCCACAGAACTAAACATATCCAGTCCTTGACTACAATCCCTTTTAGACCTAAACATGAATAAATGTGTTCTGTTTAATACACACTGCCCAGCATTTTGCCTGAAAGGGGGGAAACAAAAAAGACATTCTTGGTAAATATGATTTGAATAAATGGCAAAGATGAAGTTGACAGGCATGAATTCAATGATTGTCCTTCTGAGGTTATTATATCGCTATGTCAGCGTTCACATGATCTCCATCTTGCCTCAGTCAGTTTTTTATCACCATAAGCAGCATTTTTCTTTTTCTCCTCATTTTTATGAAATAATTAGGGCTATAAATGCACTAGAATAATTTTCACCCAACACCAGAAACCAAAAGATGGTGACTCTGTGGAAACTAGATTGTTGCTGGCAGCCAACATCATAATGAGAAAGCTTTAAATATTTATATTTAGCTGATGAACAAATATCCAAATGTGGTATACAAAAGCCAGTTTGATGATAGTTATGTGTAGGGAGTTTTAAAAGTGAAGATATTTGGTTTGAAATTTTTAAAGAAATATGCAGGATTTTATTTATTTAGTTTGGGTACTGGAAAATGACTTTTGCAGAACTGGGGCTCTTCCTTGGTGAAGTGTTTAGTTAAGGTGAAATCTGTGTCCCCTCATGCTTTCCAATGACCTCTCATGGTCATGAGGGGTTTGCTGGTACCAATAATTCTCGTCTAAGATATTATTTTTTTCTGGCTAAATTAGATCAGAATATTAAAACCCAGGAATTTCTGATGGATATTTGACAGACAGCAGAAATAGAAGTCTTACACTGCCTGATCATGGCTGCTGGAAGCTTCTGAGGAATTACAGTAGCATTTTGGCTTAAAAAATGATTCTAGAACAGGACCATAAACTTGGTAGTATCTTGTAACCATACACCAGCTGCAGAAGGGAGGGGAAATAATTCACTTATTAGTGTGTCTCTGTATTTTTCTAATCATAATTAATATTTATTTATTTACATTCAATACTGATGCAAAGTATTTTGGTTCTGCTTCTGGAAGTATAGATATGTTACTGAAATGCCCCCCTTACAAATACTAATTTCAGTTTATATCATCGACATTTATGCATTTACTTACATAATGTGTTTCACAAATTTGCAATTGTGCATTTTATAAACAAAATTAAAATTTGAATAATTATTTCATTTTTGTTTTGCAGAACCCCAGCTGAAAGGAATTGTGACAAGGTTATTCAGCCAGCAGGGATATTTCCTGCAGATGCACCCAGATGGTACCATTGACGGGACCAAGGACGAAAACAGTGACTACAGTAAGGAACATTAGCTTCTCGAAATATGATTACAAATCAAATGCATAACCCAGAGTATCTTATATTTTAAACATGGCCAGGCTCCCTTTTGAACTATTTAACTATTAGTGAGCTAGTGTCTTTCCATTTATCCTTCTAGCCATGGATTCCCTACACCAAAGAGAAAGTGCGGGAGAGAAGTTATGTACTCATTGAGGAGATAGAAGGCTTGAAGGTGTTTCATCTGATCAATAGATGAAAATTTCTTCCAATTGCAGATATTTTCATCAGGGTAATGATAAGTACTCATAGAAACAATTCAGATATTCTAGCACAAGATGGTGTTTAGGTCCTGGAACCAAATAGTGAATATAAGTTATAATTTTTAGAATATAATTTCTGGAAGGTAAAAATTACTTCTTAAGGCAAACATTGAATGCACACATATGTGTATTATATGTTAAATCATTTTGGTTAAAAGTAAAATTAAATAAATAATATGTATTTATATATTATGATTTTTTCAACAGTATATATAATAGTAATAAGATGATAAAGATTGGTATATCTGACATGGAATTTTAAAAATAATTTTTGAGCCTGGTGTGGTGGTGCATGCCTCTAATCCCAGTGGCTCCAGTGTCTGAGGCAGGAGGATCACAAGTTCAAAGCCAGCTTCAGCAACTTAGCAAGGCCCTAAGCAACTCAGGGAGACCCTATCTCTATATAAAATACAAAGAAGGGCTAGGAATGTGGCTCAGTGGAAAAGCGCCTAGGTTCAATTCCTGATACACCCCCAAAGAAAAAATTGAAATAAAAGTACCAAGTATTAATATATTGATAATAAAATCCCTGGAAATAGTTTTTAAGTAGTTTAACTTTACAGCTGAGAAATCAAAGTATGACAGTGTGTTTGCATTTTAGAAAAAAATTCAAATACAGGCTTGAGTCAAGGATGATATTTCTCATATATTTCAACTTCTTCATAATCATATACAGATACCTCTGGGTAAATACATATTACTCTAAACTTATTCTGGATGCTGTATTTTTTGTAAGTTTATTTATATTAACTTTTAGATCTTTAGTGTTGGACACATAGTAAGTATTCATTAATATCTGTGCAGTAGAGTTGGACTCTGAGGGATGTGATTTTTGAGGTCAAACTGAAAATATAAAAAACCTTCTCAGCCAATGTAGGAAAACTGATGTTTTACAATAATATAGCCTTTAAATTAATCATAAAGATTTGAGGAATGATTCAAAGTTCTTAAAGTGTCAAGATACTCTCATTCACCCCTTCTGAATTTTCTTTGTTTGCTTAATATTGCACATTACAAAATATGAATTACAATAAAGAAAAGATCTTATTATGAAGAATTTCAATGCAGTTTTCTTGCTCTCAGTTTTCAGCAAAGTAGTTGATTAGCTTATTGTGTTTTGCATTGTTAGTTTGTATTTATGTGAATCAATTCTTTAAATGATTCAAGTTTCCAATTCAGTATAGAAAAATAAGGGTATTCTTCTTTCCATGTAAGATTGGCATCTACTGCATCTGTACTTGAATGTTTAGGGAGGATGTAGGGAGGATTCAAGTATAAAGGAATCAACCCACAGTTTAGCTGTATCACCCATGTTAATTCTGAGATATACCTACTTCACAGTTTCCTTTTAATCAAATGAGGTGACAGGAAATGATAATTATGTCAATATTCTCTATCTGCATCATCCTCCCAGATCTTAAAAAATTGAAAGATTATAAATCAGTGAAGATAGATTTAATCCAGAAGTAGACAAATTGCCATACTCAGTTCCATAGGGTGCTGCCTTACACCACCAGCTGTCCTGCAGGTGCCTGGCACTTATCAGGTGGCAGGTGGAGAAGGATTGGGGCACAGGTATGGGATCAAATGCATTCAAGTTATTCCCTCACTGTTTCTAGAAAAATAATTGAAGGTGTTTGCTGTACTAATGCTGTGTCAACCACCATTGTAAAATCCATGCCAATATACCTACTATACATACATACATTTATATACATATACTTTTGTATATATTTTTATGTATGTATATATTTGTGTGTGTGTGTATATTAAATTAATGACTGACACGTATGTACCCTCCACATACCATACTGAAGATGATGGATGATGCCTTTCGTCACTGCTTTTAGCAAGTGTCTGAACTCAAAATTTAAACCAATTTTTTATTGTGATGAACTCCTGCATACCCTTTTTGATAAATTGTTCTTAAAAACAGTTTACATGTACAAAATAAAAGGAATAATGTACATTTAATATGAATACACATTCAATTTAACATTAATTAAAAATTTCAATACATTTGAACTCCATGTATATATTATATATATATGTATAATGTGTACTTACATCTTTTATAATATTGTTATATATACTTTTAAACTTTTTATAAGTGAGAACATTGTCATATATATCCTTTATGTACTTCAGCCTTAATATTATAGTGTGAGGTCTGTATAGGTAATATACTTTATCTGCTTTATTTTTGTAAAATATTTCACTGTATGCATATATCTAAATATAGCTATTCATTCTTCTTTGACCAATATTTTAAATTTCTATTTTAAGACAATTAAAAACAGGCCACCAAGATCTTTCTTTCATCTCTCTTTAAAAAATGACACGCATCTCACCTTGGCACTATGTGTTCTGATATTCCCCTCAACAGTGTTAATCATCTTTCCATTACTGTAATAAATACCTGTAAAAATCCACTTAAAAAGAAGAAAGATTTATTTTGGTTCACAGTTTTGGAGATGTCAGACTATGACTGTTAACCCTATTCCTTTGGGCCTGTGGTGGCACAGTACACTTTGGTGGGAGCATGTGGCAGAGGAGACTTCCTTACCACATGGTTGGGATGTGTAAGAGAGCAAGGAAAGGCCAGGGTCCCACAATCCCCTTCCAGCACATGCTCCCAAATGACTGGAAGACCCTCCCAACTAGGCCTCAAGCCTTTAACACATTGGCCCTTGGGGGACATTCCAGATCCAAACTATGGCACTCATGTTACTTCTTTGCATCAGTGTTGTGAGCACTTGGCATATATGTTATTGTTATTTATTTGTTTATTTTTGTCCCAAGAACATGCAAGTTCCACAAGAGGAGAGATTTTGTTTTGATCTTTCATGTGTATTTAGAATGACCGCTTCTACTCAGTAGGAGTGAAATGGATGAATTAATGAATGACCGTCTCCCCATGAATATGTGAAAAAATTTTTTCTAGGTTATTAGCTAAATACTTTTCCCCACCCACATGCTTTGCAGCTGTTTCTTTCAAAATCATTTTAGATTTTAGAAAAATGACAAAGTAATATAGCAAGTTCCTTTACATACTCTCCTCCCAGCTTCCTGTAATGTCAACACGTCATGTAACAATACAATTGTCAAAACCAGGAAATGAACACTGTTAAATGCTATAGCTATTTCTTGAACTATAACCTTCATTCAGATTTCACTTTTTCAAGTGTACTGTATTCTGACCCCTCTCCCACAGATTTAATAAAAAGCTTCAGATGAAAATAACTTTTATATATACTTTTCCTGAGTGAAGATCAGGGATAAAAAATATCAGAGTGATATTTAAATCCTACTCATGTTTTTTAATAGAAAAATTATAAGCCTCTAAGTTGTTAAAATGCCTTTTCTTTCTCCACTTTGTGTGGGTGGAGAGTAAAAGCAGTTGATTGTTTGAAAAAAAAAATCTTGTTACTATGAGCATCTGTCAGAAATGTGTTGTTTGGTTCACCAGATATCATTAGGTCCAACTAACTTTACCATGGTATCTTGCACAGAATTGATAAAGGCACCTGTTCTTTTGTTCATGAAGAAAAGACTAATTGCATGTAATTGAGTACAAACACAAATGGGTTTGTCAGCAGTAACAGATAAAAATCTCTACAAATGTAATGATAACAAAAAAAAATTGCAGAACTGTGTCAAAACCCTGGTACAAAAAAGACATTTGCAGTTTGGAGGGTATTAATAGGAATATTTTACATAAAATTGAAAAGCTAATTATTCTGCTCCACAAGCTACCAAAGAAGAGACATTTGAAGAGGTTAAAAATGCTAGGAAGACAACAATGAAGATATTTTAACCAAATGTATTGTTCTCCTCATCTGAACAAAGATTGCTAAGAGCCCTTTGACTGTGGAAGGGGCTGCCTGATGAGTTAGTGCTGTGGTTAAACTGGGGAGAGGTTTTCAAGAAAGCCCCTGGGGCATGGAGGGAGAAGCCCTCGGTGGCTGGAAGAGTCTGAGTTCAGTGACTTTTTTATTTTTTAATTTATTTTTTTTGTGGATGTAGATGGATAGTACACCTTTATTTTTTTTTTATTTTTTATTTTTTTGTTTATTTTTATGTGGTGCTGAAGATCAAACCCAGTACCTCCCACGTGCCAGGCAAATGCTTTACCACTGAGCCACAACTCCACCCCCAGGGTTGAGAGACTTTTAAAGTCCCCTCCAGTTATAAGGAGTTTCTTTTGAAACACATATTGAATAGGTAAGATAAGTGTACGTGACAGCCAGGTGCTGGCTTGGCAATCTCACAAAATCAGACAAGGCCACTGTGAAATGTGGATCAAGAAAAAAAGCAAAACCACTCAGGAATCACGTGGTCAGAACTACAAAATGACCAAGTCTTTCTCTATCATGGGCTATGTGAGTGGCCACTGGTGCTTTACCAAACCTGGCTTTCCCCTTGCTGCTTTTCTTGCCTTCTAGATAAGATTATCAAAATACCCAACCATAGAATCACACCTACCTTTTCAGAACACCAGTCTGGAGCAAAGGCACAGTTCTCTGAGCTCTCCCTCAATCACCAAACACACCCAAAGCCTCTGAGTCTTTTCTTTCATCCTCTTGCTGAGATGCTCCTGCTTTTGCCATGATGTATGATACAGAGTAGATAATCTTGTTACAGAGTAGATAAACCCAATTTGGTCAATCACAGTTTTGTTTCTGATATTTTTTTGGC